TCTAAAAAGTGCATAACCAATAAACCTATAGAAAAAAATATGGATTCAATTAAATAAAAAAGTAATGATAAGTATTAATGAAAGTGAATAGCTTGAATATATGAATTAATGGGTGATCTACATACTGTAAAACAGTTTTTCTAGATTTTCTTCATTACTTTAATAATGTACCAACCTTCCAAAGTTTAATGTTGCTGAAAGCTCTCGTTCAGACGCATTTAGTAAAACACTTTTTAGACAATGAATTTGCAAATCTGAAAGAATGCAGCAAAAGTAGACAAAATAATGGCTTATGTTTAAGAGTATATTATTTTATAAGGAAAGTTTGTTCCTTATGTTTTTGATACCTTTTAGCTCGTAGAAACTTCAGCAATAATTTTGTCTTAGAGAACGTAGTGTACTTTAACTAAGCATTTAGATAAAATTTTTAAAAATATAATTTCGTCGATTTGTGTAATTTATGAAAATCATATGACAAAATTTTAAATATGACAAATCGGGTGTCTGATAAAGCAATAGTAAACTTTTAGGTTAATCAGACTAAATCTTTATTTCTGAAGTATATATATATATATTTTCAAAATGTCACATTATGTTAGACATAACAACTCTATTTTACAACAGAAGCAGTCTAAGTACATTGTGTTTTTTTGAGTATATTGAATGTTTGTTTTCCATAGCACTTAGTTGGACTATTCATACCAGCACAGTTATCGCATACTGGACTTGTGCTTGTTGTTGATGGCTCGATTTCAAGATTTCCACAAAGATAACAAACAGGTAGGTAGATTTTTGCAGAGTAATATGGTTTTTCAACAAGAGAATTGCAGGTCCAGGAGTCATTAATGAAGACGCACTTAAAGATTTCTTGGATAGGATCATTGATCTCGTTTTCCTCATTCTTGTTATGTTCTTTGGAGTAAAAATCATCTACTTCATTAATTTCATAATTATCTTGATCGCTTTGTTCGCTTTGTTCACTTTGTGCATTGTTACTATTTTCATCACTCTTATGTTCTTGATGAGATTTGCTAGGACCAGCAACAGAACTCTTCTCATTATCACCATCACTACATTCATCAAAAGATTCACTTACTTCGCAGTTTGGCCCAGTTGGTGTAGTAGTTGATAATTCACAAGTATTGTTGAATGTAGTCTCACATGTATACAGAATAGTATTTAAAAATTGAACAAGCATTTAACGATCTTTCTTATTTAGTTTTTTTGCACTAAATAGAAGTCATAGTTTATCACATTTACTGCAAGTAATAGTAACTCCAACGTTTCTAGCACGTATCAAAGAGCCGCAAAAAGGCATTGAATGATTTACTTTTCCTTTTTTTCTTTCTTTTTTTTGATTAGACTTGACAATGGGTGTTTGTTCTTGACGTGAAGGCCTGTATTTTTCTGTTGTAGTTATATCATAAAGCATTTTCAAAAGGCT